AGAATCAAAAGAAACGTTATGTATCCACCCCTACACCAAAACTACTGAGCACCTACCATACACATGTCCCATGCTGTGGAATGGGGACACCAAGGTCCCTGTTTTCATGGAGCCTGTAAAACAGCACCCAATGCAGACAATGAACACGTGAACAAATAACAAAACGAGGCAATTGCTGCTTATGACCATTTCTGTAATGGAAGTGAATAAGATGGGGGTTCCTGACTGATTGGCTATGGGGGTGCTTGGCTGATTGGCTGCTTTGATCAAAGCAGGTAACATCTGAGCTAAGCCAGGACAGGTGAGAGTTGGGAGAAGAGCATCCCAGCTTCTGAAATGGTGAGAGTTGAGAGCTCTGACTTGGCAAAGGGTTTGGTGTGCTAGGAGACGAGGGGTGACACCGGAAGCACTTTGAGGGGAGGGTGGGGCAGTGGAGGCAGGCAGACACACAGCTCTGTGGGTCCCAGGGAGGATTTTTTTGTTGAAAAGAATGAGATATAACCAAAACGTTTTAAACAGGAGAGCTATATAATCGATTTATATTAAAAAAAATAGATTGTGTACAAGATGATCTATAAATTATTTTCTAAAGCTGAGATTCTGACCTTGTTATGATAGGGTCCTCACCACATCTTATTGCACATACAAAACACTTATGTACTGTGCCTTTAGGTATTCTATTTAGCACTAACATTCTACCTAGAGGAAGAAGGCACCAAATTGCAGATTTCAACAGTTAGCTGGGGGAAAGTGAACCATTCTTGTGATTTTTCCTGAACTGGCCTTTACCATTACCACATCTTTCCTGTAGATATAACTGTTCTGCTCTGGGTCCTCTGTGCCTGCTAACCCTGCCCCCACCCCTGCACCACCCCTAGTGTTTCTATTAGGTCAGTAGTTCCATAGCTGATAAGTGATTGGGCCCAGCTCATCACTGTGCCTTATAATGGAAGGCCTGAATCTTCCGTCACAATGGACTGTCCTTTTGTATCAACACCTTGGCCTGCACTCAAAACCATTTTCTCCCATAATAGTCCAGGAGACTCGAGTCTCCTTGAGAACAGGGGTTATGGCTGGTTCCTCACTATATCTCAGTATTTACCAGTTTGGCACCTACAATTAAGTCTTTAAAAAACGCTACTGAATGAATGGATACCCTGACCTCAGAGGCACCCTACCTATATCAGAGATCCTTCTGGACACCAACTCTCCTCTTAACACTCAACTGGATCAGCTTCCTTCCAATTCCTACACCGTGAAACACGCTGGCCCTATGCTGGTTAGACTCTCCTATTTTAACTGGAGCTGGAACTGAGTCTTTTTTTCTTAATCAGGTAAGGCACAAGCTTAAGATTGTTTTCCTGAACTATGGCTGAGTCTTAATAGTGATAATTCCAAAAAAGCTAGTCCTCAAATGCTCTGCATCATTTTCAGAATAATAGCAGTTCGTATTCATTGCTCATTGTTCACTACTACTTGCCAGACACTGTGCTAAGTCTCCTTTAATCCTCCCTGCCACCCTACATGGAAAATATTATTATCCCCATTTTACAGAGGAGGAAATTGCAGCACAGAGAGGCTAAGTGGTTTGCCTGGGGTCACACCACTAACAAGTAGATCTGAGATTTTCAAGCTTCTTTCAAAAATGAAATTTGTACTCTTAACAACTAGGGAAAATTTATAAGCTAACATTCATAATACATCCACATTAGCATAAGGAAATGCATAATCCAATTGGTGTGGTCTTGAAAAATGGGTGTTATTATGGAACTCTCTGTTGTATAATTGGATAGATTTTACTTTCTTTGTCACACATATTTCCTTTTCAACTCCCAAAATTTTGTCTATTCATAATCTTTACTAGCATATCAGAGCATAGTTAAGAATTTTTTTGTGTGTGATTTTAAAGCATTTTATTTTAACAGAAGAACCCAGGAAAACTATAAAGGCTTAGAAAATAGTTCAGATCTTATTAGATTTTAAAGGTCGCATATACAGGCTCTGAAAAGAACCTAAGAGTTCTCATACACAACTGAAATGTATTTGAGATCAAAAGCATTCTGAGTTTTAAAATTTGCTCTATTTACAGAGGATCTCAGGAACCAAAATAAACTCATCTTCCATAGTTCTTTGAGTGACAGTTCTAAAATGTCCAAAAGACAAAATTTTCATTTTTAACGTAACATAAAAGCACACATTCAGATATTTTCTGATTTAAAAAGAAACTTCCCCTAAAAGTGACTGATGCTTCTGATGTTATCTAAAATACATAATACAATACACAAGTAATAGTCTACCTGGAAAATTACAGAATTACAACCCAGGGCACTAACTTGGAATGAGGAAGAATTCCAGATGGAAGTCTTATTGAAAAATAATAAAGCTTTTCTTCAGTAAGATACTTATCTAAAAGAATCTTGGTTCTAACACACTATCACAAGCAGATCGTGAAATATTATACAATTTATGACATATAGAGAATCAGAGAAAGTACTAGCAAATTGCCAATGCAATTTAAGAGAATAAATAGTATTTATTATTATTTATTATAGTACAAGCCCATTTTAACTGGGGAAAATGATTTCCCAACTTGGAAAAATTATGAACTCAATTAAAAATCCAGCTTGCAAAAGAGGTTACACATCTATGAATTTGTGAATAGCGTAGGCTTACAAGTCAGTATCCATACTGATACTACAGCATTTATTATTTGTGTATCTTATATGCCTTTTTGGTTAGGAGGTGCTTTGAGAGCACATGGCAAGTAGGAAAGTCTGGGCATGGGTCTCACTTTGGAAACTTAGCTGTTGCACCTTTGGGCAAGTCACTTAGTTTCTAGGTTTCGGTTACTTCATTTGTACTCTAGGAGGCAGTAATACTCTTCTGTCCTTCCTCCCCCCTCCCCCCCCCCCCCCCCCCCCCCCGCCTTCGTGAAGCAATGTATAGGGGAAGAAGGGCATAGACTTTGCAGAGATACAACCAGAGAGCTTTCCGTCTACACCTACACTTGCACATGTAAGGTCTGGGATAAGTTCCTTACCTACTCAAGCCTCAGTTTCATCATCTATAAACTTAGAATATCACACCTAGGAAGATGTCATTAGGATTAGAGAAAATACATGTAAACATTTGGCACGTACTAAAGCTTTAGTAGCTACTAATGCTTGGGGCCCATTTTGTAAACTGCATTATATATGTAAGGTATTATTCTATGATCTGTTTCTTCAGAAATCATGCGGTTTCTTAGTTGACACACTAACCATAACATTTCTCCCATAGTCTTTATATATGAATATATTTTCTTTTATGGATTGGAAACCCATTGTGATACTGTCCTTGTGAAATTTATTATGAGACTATGAAATTAGCAAACCACCAATGAGGAGATCTCTGATTCTTCCTCCTTTGCTGCATTCTAGTCTATAGTCTGCAATGAATTTTCAATCTATTTATTCATATTTTTATAACTCATTCAACAAACACCTGCCGAGGGCTTACTATGTGACAAAATCTATGCTATAAGAGAAGTTAGCCTCTATATTTTATTACAGATGGTTTCATGAAATATTATGACAAATTCCTATCGTAATATAGCAAACTTAGAAAATCTTACAGTTCATGTAACTTATAATGGGAATTAAAAATACGTTTTGACAATGTTACATATCCTCTAGAAAATAATTATATGCAAATTCTTTTCACAAAAGTTACTAAATTAGATCCAAAGTGTTTATGAAGATAATCCAAGGAAAGGGATTTAGAAAAGAAAACAACTTTAATATTATCATATCTGTGACTCAGTATTATCTTTCAGAGTAGTTTTTTAAAAGATTTTATTTATTTATTTATTTACTTATTTATTTATTTGAGAGAGCAGGGAGAGGGACAAGCAGACTCCATGCTGAGCACAGCGCCTAATTCGGGCATGGACTTGATATGAGGCTTGATCTCATGACCCCAATATCATGACCTGAACTGAAATCAAGAGTCAAAGGCTTAACCAACTGAGCCACCAAGAATCAGAGTAGATTCTAAAGGGTTTTATATCTAGAATGATTTAAAACTAGGCCACAGTTGGAAGCAATTAAGACATTATTCTTCTGTTTTACTTCATTTTCCTTAAAAGTCATAAGCCATAGGCTAGTTCTACTAATGGAAAATAACTGAATTTCACAATACATATAGGTATGTATTTTTGTGATGTTCTAGGACATTTCCTTTAATCATTATAAACACAATTCATCCCAACTATCATTATAAACATAATCCATTTTAACAGAAATTGATTGTTTCCAATGTGTGGCAACAGCAAACTGGAATGATGAAAGTAGAAATATAGAAGGGTTTGGCAAACTACTGCTTGTGGACCAAATCCAGCCCCATACTTGCTTTTGTAAATAAAGTTTTATTGGAACACAGCCAGGTCCATATGTTTACACATAATCTATGGATGCTCCTATGATATGTTGGCAGGCTTGAGTAGTTGTGATAGAAATGGTGTGGCTTACAAAACGTAAAATACTTTCTACCTAATCTTACAGACAAGGTTTGTGAACTCCTGCTTCATAGTAAAGGTAATAAAGAATTTCCATGCCAATTTTGAGTACTGATACAAAAATTAGGAAGGAATTAAAGGAGATATTTAGTTGTATATTTAGTTCCTTTTAGGTTTGCGCGGAATGCTTACTGGACACACCAGAGGTAGGACACATGCTACACATTTGAGTAGACAAATTCTCCACATGCAGTCCTTGCTGGGCTAATGGGCTGTGCTGCTCCCCCACTGATACAATAAAAATTCCAAGTGTTGTCCCATCCGTGACAAATGCCCACCAGAATTGCATAATCATCCTTCTTTTTTGGGAGCTGGGGATTTTAGTTTGTCTATTTTTTGTTCTTATTGGAAATATTGTGAGATTCTATAGTTCTGTAAACACTGTAGTTCATTTAATAGAAAATGACCATCATAAGTAAAATAGAAAAAAAGAACTAATTGTTACCTGCATGTTGTTCTTCAATCCAGACTTGCAAATACATGAAAAGGAGCAGCCCTGCTACTCCAAATATGAGCACCGAGAGGAAGACTTGTTTGGGGTTCATGACCATTTCAGATGGCTGCATTTCTCCTCGTTTCTGAAGACCACATGATTTGTTTTTCCATAGAGCTTGGATCCTTTGTTCTATTAAGTGCTCATCCCATGAAGTAACCTAGAATTTTAAAAAAATCCACATTGTACCTTGCTCATGACATTTCTTTCCCAATATAGCATAAATATGCAGAGATCAATGATAATGAAGACATACGTGAACTGGAATGTTCTAAAGACAAAAGACTGTAGGAGATTGTCCCTAGAATGGCAATTTTCTATCATAATCTAAGGAAGATATCATCCCATGGTTAGTAGATAACACCCTCACATTTAATTACGTACAGTATAGTCAGACTTAAGCCACCCTATATTGGAAAGAGTAAAGTAGGTTCAGGTTATCTTCAAATGATTGTGAGGGGAAATAAGACTATCAGAATAGACTGCTGAAGGAGTTTTGAAAAACATGTTCCTAGAATAAAGGGGGAAAAAATCACTTCCTGACTGAAAAATATATAAAGTTCAAAAATGGAGGGTTCAATCTATCATTTCTCTCTCATGTATAAGTAATAGATTTCTCCACCTGAAAGAGTACATTTAAAATCCTTCCAACACACAAAAGAATAAATATTAAAAGGTCAGATTTAAAGGGCTTCTCCCACAAGAACATGGCAGTACAGAAGTCAGCCTCCGATTACAGAAATCTACCTCCCTAATGAAAGATTTAAAGAAATATTGAAATGACTTTGTTTTAGAACAGTCTCATTTAATGTAATCCTACCCTTTTACTTTTGTAAGCCGCAGCTACATTTGAGAATCTATTGAAAATGCAAACCATCTTGTTAGACAAATATAAACACACACAAAATCTTGCATAAAGAGCAGGATGCTTCAGTACTGTCACTGGAACCCAAGTTAAGAAGCCAGCTTCCCATGAACTGCCACGCAAATACGCAGCAGCCTGCATGGTGAGCTCACATAGTCCAGCTAATGAGGCCAAGGTCACTACTTTGTATCTAATGCTGGCCAAAGACCTTGGCTCTGTGCTTTGGCCACTGACCACACCCCCTCTTTGGATGAGCTGAATGTTTTCTCCCTGTGAGGACATCACATCCACTGCTGTGTCTAAAAATGATCTCTTTTTTCTCTAAATATGTCTCAAAAACTTCTGGGAGAATATTGGTCTAGCTTTTTTAAGAGGTGCTTGGTGAGATGCAAGGTAAAAGTTAAAAACCTGCTATGAGGAATTTTGGGCTGGTAAAAGGATAAGATTTACCTGTTCTTGGCAAAACCAACTGGCAAAACAATTTTCATGTAAATGGTGGGCTTGAAAGGTAACCTATGAGATCAGCATTATAAGGAAATGTAGTATGGTGATCACTTGATTAGAAAAAAATTCAGGGGTGCCTAGGTGGCTCAGTTGGTTAAGTATGTGCCTTCATTTTTTTTAAGTGTGTGCCTTCAGCTCAGGTCATGATCCCAGGGTCCTGGCCGAGTTGGGCTCCCTGCTAGAGGGGAGTCTGTTTCTCCCTTTCCCTCTGCCCCTCCACCCAACTTGTGCTCTCCTCTCTCAAATAAACAAAATCTCTAAAAATGAAAGAAAAAACAAATCCAGCAAATAGTTAAAAGTGTGCATGTAGAACAACAAAAAGTCATGTTATAAATACATTTTTTCTTTATATTTTTATTATTACCCAGAAGGGGCCCGAGGAATTGCAGTGATTGTCAGTATTAACTGAAGAGCTTTCTAGAATCCACTTGTCTGAATCACCTGAGGAAGGGGTTAGTGTTAATATATTCCTGAGGGCTTTTGAGCATTTCAAGCATTTTCTCCACTTTGCCAGTAGAGTAAGTTTTTAAACAAGTAGAAGAGCTGAGAGTATCGTCATATGCTATTTGATGGGTGGTGCTTTGCTCTTACATTGATTCAAAACTAAAATCTCATGGGCTTTCCAAACATATGCAACACAGAAGAGTTCCCGAGGGAGATCTGCAATTTGAGGTGTTCCAAGATTGAGTCCCTCAAGGAACTACGAAGAGAAGCCAGCTTTCTCGTCTTGATGCTGCAGTTAAACAATGAACAGACAATTCCTGGGTGCACAAGAAGATTCAGATAGGAGAAACCAGTTAAACAAAATCCAGTACTAACAGAGAAATAGCTGTTTACAAGAAGAAAGAGACTTTTACAATCTGTCTACATAATTAAAACTTATCTCAGAAGAAAGAGGATAGAAGAAAATGCATAAATCAGAACAGAGCCACGAACCTGTGGGAATAGTAGATGTGAACGCCAAAAGAGGTACTCCTTGAGGGTTTGCAGAGGAAAATTATTACCTACGACGCTGGAAAGAGATGAAGAATTTGCCCTTCCTTTCTTCAGGAGATGTTGCTCTACTCTGACATATCCTCCTGGGTAAGAAGTCAGGAGAAAACCCATAATTGTTATTATGGCAGATGTGAGTAGGATTGAGTGATTAAAGCCACAAGGCAGAAAGGCAATCTGGTGTAAAACGAAGAGATACGTTTGATTTTCTCCCATCTCAGTCCATTAACCCAACGTTGGCATTAGGAAATGGCTCTCATTAAACAAAGGTGAGGCAGGAGGAGCAGCAGTACTGCTTTAAGCAAACCTGAAGGTCAGTTGTGATGGGAAAACACACCTATTTGGAGATCGTACATCTACCTCTACGCCTGCAGGAAAAGTGCAGACTACTGGAGACTGAAATTACTTGGAATAATGCTATTTTATGTACAAGCATTATACATTTCTACGGTCAGAGGCTTCCTGTATTTCATACAACTCCTTCCTCTCCCCAGTCTAAACACAGTACCTTGAACCTAACCAGTACTCAACAGTGTGCACTGCACTGAACTGAATTTGGAGCTCCAATAACAAAATACAGGTAAATGAACTAGTTTTCCAGTTGTACTTATAAATCCTTAGTCCTAACTTCCAAATGAAATCATGAAAGAGGAATCTATGTGGCTTTGTTAAAAGAAATACATATTTATTTTGATTTGCATATCCTATTGATTTATCCCAAACTAACACAAATAGATATATAAAAATAATGGTTTCACCACATTATCTATTTTCCAACACTTTAGAAATTATCCTTTTAAGATGTTCAACATCAGGGCAGCCCAGGTGGCGTGATCCTGGAGTCCCAGGATCGAGTCCCATGTTGGGCTCCCTGCATGGAGCCTGCTTCTCCCTCTGCCTGTGTCTCTGCCTCTCTCTCTCTCTCTCTCTCTCTCTCTGTGTGTGTGTGTGTCTCTCATGAATGAATGAATAAAATCTTTTTTAAAAAATTGTAAAAAAAAAAAGATGCTCAACATCATTAATCATCAGGGAAATGCAAATCAAAAGCACAATGAGATATCACCTCAAGCCTGTTAGAATGGCCATCATCAAAAAAGACAAGAGATAACAAATGCTGGCATGGATGTGGAGAAAAGGGATCACTTGTGCACTATTGGTGGGACAGTAAACTGGTGTAACCACTAATAGAAAATTGCATAGAGGCTCCTCAAGCAATTAAAAACAACTACCATGTGATCCTGCAACTCCACTTCTGGGTATTTATCTGGAGGAAATGAAAATACTATGTCAAAGAGATACCTGCACCCCCACTTTCACAGAGGTGTTATTTACAATAGCCAAGACATGGAAATAACTTCAGCGTCCACCAATGGATGAACGGATGAAGAATATTACTCAGCATATTCTTACTATTCTTAAGGTGCCATGCATATCAAACTTACATGGTGCTGTATGTCAGTTATATCTCAATAAAAGTGGGCAAATTATTTTAAATAAGTATGGTTACCAATAGAAGCATTTTAAGACTTTAGTATACTTATCAGATGGAGGCAATTTATTTGTTTTATTTTTAAAAATTTTTTTAAAGATTTATTTGAGAGACTGTGTCAGTGGGGGGAGGGGAAGAGGGAGAGAGGGAGAGGGAGAATCTCACATTCACACGGGGCTCAATCTCATGACCCTGAGATCATGGCCTGAGCTGAAACCAAGAGTCGGATGCTTAACTAACTGAGCCACCTGAGTGCCCCTAGAGGCAATTTATTTAAAAGGAAATCATGAGTTGTCCGGTTGGACAGAAGTCTATGATTTTAGGGAGGGAGTTTTGAAATGTAGAGTATGGTTTGGAACAAATTGGCATAAAACATTCTGGCACAGAAGAACCTCAAAGTCAGGAGATCACCTGTCCTTACCCTCTACCTTAGGAGGACCTCAGTAGTTCCTGTCATTCTCTATCTCGTTCTCATACTCGAGAGAGTAAGAGACCATCAGGGATGAACTTCCTCAATTTACCACCTGCTCTCACAAAGTTTACTACCATCTGTCTCTGCCCACAATTCTATGCCTCAATCACTTCCAGACTACTGTGAAACTCAACTCCATAAATACTATGCCAACCTGGGTCTTTTCCTGAACCTCTTCCTCCAGTGACTTCCTCTATAACTCCTCCAGCGACTGCTCTACTGCTGTCATTCCCAGATGAGCCTGAAGACAGCACTCTGCCCTGGCTGTCTCAGATGCCTCTCTCCCAGACATCTCTCCACCCACAGCTGTCCAGGAAGCCAGAAGATGTGAGGAGGCTCACAAGTTGTGTAGGTTCTGAAAGTTTATAATTCCCCGGGGTTTTATTTTGTTTTGCTTTTTTCCTATTCTACTTACCACCTCTATGAATTTCCTGCTTCTATCTCTTCCTCATTTTTCTTATTGATGTGTAGTTCCCTTTGCATTTTGGATGGCAATTCTTTGTCAGTTATAGACAATACAAAAATCTTTCTTTTTCTTTCCTTCCATCCTCCCCCACTCCCTTCTACTGCTGGTGGTGTGGTTGTCTTATCATGAAGAGGTTTTAAGTCAAATTTTGTCATATTTTTCCTTCTTGATGTATCAGCTAGAGTCTTAAAAAGAAAGCACAGAATATACTCAAGCTCATGAAATTGTGGAGAGGTTAGTAATAGGACAATTTCCAAAGACTGATCAGCATTTTGAGAAACTAACAAAGAATTGAGTAGTTCCCAAGGGTCAGTAACAGCAACCACTCTTAGAAGCCAAGTCAGGAAGTAGAGAGCTATTCTTGGAGGGGG